TCTATCTATCTATCTATCTATCTATCTATCTATCTATCTATCTATCTGTCAAACATGGACAAGATAACAAATATAAGTATGAACATGAACAAGAACAAAGGGAGTAAATACAGGTCAATGGGGACAGTGAGACAGGGATGGTAGGCCCGCTGGTGCACTTATGCACGCCCCCTTTAAGGACCTCTTAGGAACTGGGTGAGGCCCATCGAAGACAGTTGGAGGTTGAAGCTGGGAGGGTTCGAGGCTGTAACCACGGGGTTGGGTGGGGTGTTCCAGGCGTTGACCACTCTGTGGCTGAAGTCGTATTTTCTGCAATCGAGTTTGGAGCAGTTTACCTTGAGTTTGCATCGGTTGTTTGCCCGTGTGTTATTGTGGTTGAGGCTGAAGAAGTCGTTGACAGGCAAGATGTTATAGCAGACAGTTTTGTGAACTATGCTTGGATCGGACCGCAGGTAGCGCAGTTCTAGATGGTCCAGATTCTCTCTCTCTCTCTCTCTCTTTCTCTTTCTCTCTCGGCTAACTTTTCACCCTAATCAGTTGCACCAGAGCCAGCTGGAGCTTCGAGAGGTGAGACTGTCCTATCGGCAGCTGCAGGTCAAGATGGAGGAGCTAAATGAGGAGCAAAGCCTCCAAGCCTTCAACTCCTCCAGGATGTCTTTGCTGTCGGAGATCGAGCAGAGTATGGAAGCAGAGGAACTGGAACAAGAGCGAGAACAGGTATACGAAGCGGTGGGTAGTGCAGAAAACTTCAGAAGCCCTGCCATAGTAGGACAATTCCTTGAGCTTCTAGGGTTGTCATTCAAATGAACATTCTTAAGGTGGTCAGATTCCAACAGATCGAAGCTGGAAGGTTTTTTTTGAGGGGGAGGAGGGGAGAAAAGAACTTTCTAAGAACCTGTAGGTAATTCGATCCTGCAGATGCAATCCTGGGTGTGATGACCCAGGGTGGGATACAAAATAAACACAGTCACAAAAAAAACAGGTGAAGCCCCTTTTATTCCTTCACTTTGCTTCCAAGCTCCGAATATCTTTGACGGAGGACAAACAAACTCCCACACAAACAGTTACAAGGAGGAGGAAATGCCGTTTAAATTATAAAGAGTTAAAAAAAACAACACAAACCAGGCAAGATAAGGGCTTGAAGATGTCCACGGATATCAGAACACACACTGGGAAGGACGCCAAACTCAGAGAGGAACAATAAACTAGAGCTATTTCCACGCTTTGTTTCCAGCACTCGCCTGTACGCAGGTCCATCCTCTTAGCCAGTTGTCACAGCTGCAGCCCATGAAGAGGATCAAGGCCCTCTCCTCCCCAGTAGACCACGTTGTTCTCTTATCCTCTCCTCCCTGCGTGCCCTAGGATGGAGAGGGGATGGGCCTGGGTCCTCCTCTGGCTGCCCAACAGGCCTCTGCCCTTCCCCAGCCTCCTCCACAACCTCCGGAGCCCCACTTCCACTCCCTGTCAGCTGTTCCTCCTCTCCCTCCGAGTCAGTCTCCACCAGGGGCACGACGCTGGGTTCAAAATCTATCCAATGGGTGTCGTGGTATTCTGGTCCCTTCACTGTACATTTTTTTTTTTTTGTTATTGTGTTATCACAGTTGAGGCTGCAGCTTTGGGAGGCCTATTGCCAAGTCCGTTACCTGTGTATGCACCTCAGAGGGAATGACAGTGCAGATTCTGCCGTCTCCACGGACTCTTCCATGGACGAATCTTCGGAAACCTCCTCAGCCAAAGACGTTCCGGCCGGCAGCTTGCGGGCTGCACTTAGCGAATTGAAGAGGCTGATCCAAAGCGTGATTGACGGCACGGATTCCCCGGTAAGCGGGGTTTGGGGGTTACCGCTGTCACCCCATTCATAACAGTAGCATTTAGGCTTGTATCATCCTCTTCTTTTAAGGACCCTGTAATCCCTTGTGCGGGTGGAGTCTGGGCAACTCAACGGAGCTAGCAGAGTGCTTTAACGGCCGGATGCCCTTCCTGTCACCAATGTGGAGTTTTGTTCAGCAGATAAATTCTCCCTGTGCCCAGAGAGAGAGAAATATCTGCCTCTACCTAGGATCGAACTCACAGCCTCCTGATTGTGAGGCAACCTTGACAGAATAGCAATAGCACTTAGACTTATATGCCACTTCGCGGCGCTTTGCAGCCCTTTCTAAGCGGTTTACAGAGTCAGCCTCTTGCCCCCAAATAACCTGGGTCCTCATTTCACCAGCCTTGGAAGGAGGGAAGGCTGAGTTCAACCTTGACAAAACCATTCATATCCCTGAGTAAAAGACTTGTTTACATCTCTTCCAGAGTTCTCGGAGAAGCGATGACGATGCTTTGGAAGAACAGATCAAGCAAACGAGTGAAGATTCAAGAGCCCTGAGGGAGTTAATGGAAGGCGAACGGGGGAAACTGAGGCAGAGCCTGGAAGAGCTACAGCAGCTTCACAGCCAGGTAGCCAACGTAGGTTGTTGTCCTGGAGTTCAGCTGGACGTGACGCTTCCGCTGGACGTCTCTCTAGATCGAAGGGACCTGCTCTTTCGGCCTTGCTGTGAAACCTACAACGTCGTAACCTTGGATTCTTCCCCCTTTTGCCTTCCCAGGTGACGCTGCTGAGTGTAGAAATGACTTCGCTGAAAGAGGAAAGGGACCGGCTCCGGGGATCGGCCGAAGACAAGGAGATGAGCGAGCAGCTGTTGAAGGCTATCCGAGACCGAGATGAAGCCATTTCGAAGTAAGAAAAAGTTTGGTCGGGTGGCGGGGTCGGCACTGGGGAGAGACAAGCCCCCTGCCCCCCTCTGCCCGAGGGCTGACCTGTAAAAACTACAAGCCCGATAGAAACCTAGTTAAAATTTGAGATTCCAGCAAGGCAGCTTCCGTGGCGATTTTGACCCTGGTTGCAGGGGGATCAAATCGGATGAAGGGCTCAAAATGCATCCAAACGCATCCTTTGTTCTGCCAAAGGATGAAAAAACAGAGGTGACTGAAATAGAAGACCTTGGAAGTTGCTTCCAGCCCTATATTTCTATGTTTTCTCTCTCTCTCTCCCTTCCTCCTTCTCTCTCCGTTTCCTTCTTTCTCTCTCTCTCTCTCCCTCCCTCTCTCCTTTTCTCCCTTCCTCTCATTTTCCCTCCTTTCCTCTTTCCCTCTTCTCTCTCTCTCCCTCCTTCCCTCTCGAGTCTCCCTTTCCCTCCTTCTCCCTCCCTCCCTCTTTCCTCTCTTCCTCCTTCTTTCGCCCTCCTTCCCTCTCTCCCTTCCTCCCCCCCTCTTTTATTCATTTTCTGTTCTGGTGGGCCCATAACACAGGTGTAATTGTGTTATCAGCTAAAAGTGTCTGGCTGAGGGTCGGTGGGGGGAAGGAGCAAATAGCCACCTCGGGGCTGTCCCCCTTTGTCTGAGCAGAGAATATCGGTTGCCTATTGAGTTGCAATGCCGGAAATCCAGGGAGCTTCTGGTATTTTAGGCTGTGTGTAGGTTACCAACTCTCCTGTATCCATGGAAACTGGCTTCTTAGGAAGTCCAATATTCATTCTGTGAAGTGATTTTTTTAAAAAAATCTTTTTTTCCCCTTTTGCAATACATAGATATGTGCAATGGGGACTGTGTTGGCTGCGTAGGCAGATTTAAAAAAAATAATAATCAGAATTTTCATGAATGATCACTGTTGCATGGTACAACAGCCATCTGGATCAACTTCCCCCAAGCTTGGCACTCCTGAGGTGGGTTGGGACTGCAGATCCCATATTCCCCAGCGGCCAGCTCCATCTGTGGGAAGAGATGGGGGGTGGGGGGGGGGGGAAAGAGGGCCAGAACCCAAACGGGTCTTCATCGCTGTGTTGTTGTGGTGGTGATGGTTGCTTTGCTTTTCAGGAAGAATGCTGTTGAGATGGAGCTGGCCAAATGCAGGATGGACATGATGTCGTTGAACAGCCAGCTGTTGGACGCCATTCAACAGAAGCTTAATCTTTCGCAGCAGCTGGAAGCGTGGCAGGTAGGAGGAAAGAGGGAGGCGGGGCCAGGTCTACCTACCCCCCTAGAGTTCTTCTTCTGGGTGGTAGCGCCACATGAAACGCTGAAGGAGGACAAGCGGGTTTGGATCGTGGTTTGACACCCCTCCGAAATGTTACCTGCCAAGTGGCAGAGATCCAGCCCCAGCAGGACCAGGCGGGGTCTTGGTTTCTCTGGGGTTGCATGATGTAGTAGGTGAACCTGTGGAGGATACGCATTCATGGACCCCTTTGTGGAGAGGGGGGGAGGAGGAGGAGGAGGAGGAGGAGGAGTAAAGGAAGAGAAGGTGCAGGAGGAGGAGGAGGAGAAAAGGAGAAGCGGGAGGAGGAGAACAGGAGGAAGAGGAGGAGGAGGAGA